CTTTAGATGAAATTGTACGCAAACCTCTTGCACCTATTACAAAAATTAATAATAACAGATTGAATAATTCAAACAAAGCATCTGTATCTTTCAACTATAATTATCATTTAATTAATACACCTCGCTCTACCACACTACACTTAACTATACCTCGCTCCACTACAACATGTTTAACTGATACGCGTTCAACTAATACGCATCCAAATAATACATGTTTCGATGATACAAGTTTTAATGATGATGTTGTTAGATCAAATGCACTTATTTATTTCATTCAAACACACCATTAAACAACATTCACGAAATCTGCTTGTGTTTATGCGAGAATCCTAATGTTTTACTACTGGCCTACAATATGTATTTATCGATGCAGGCACTATATTTAATATTGTTATACCAAACTTTAATCCGTCAATGTTAGCAACAGTACCACATATGCAAGAGGACAAGGTGAAATTAAGCAACAATTTTTTATTTTATTTATTTTATTACTAATTGCTAAATAAATCGTATAGTATAATACAGAACAAAGCTAATCACGATTTTCTAGAAGAACTTAAGTGCTTGTTTCTTCGAGCTCGAAATCCTGGTAAGTGTACTTTCGAAGACCTAGTCTGACAAATTTTCAAGTGCGATCTTACTCGATCGAGGGAGTTGAATGGTTGTGGGCAGCCAATAGGAACTTTGGGGATTTTCGCAATAAATTCCTAGATAGTATTGAGAAAAATATTAATATGTTCAAAGAAAAAAGTGTTAGGTAAGCTGCTTCTTTCATTTTAATTCCATTAATTCTATTATGCTAGTTATTTTTAGTAATTTTTTATTTTCAGAGAAGGAATTTCATATATAACTCGTCCTTTGCAAAGCGAAATTGGTTCATTGACAATAAATACCTTGCAAAGATGTATAAGCACGATGAATTATGGGTTCAAAACACGATGCCACATTTACGTAGATTGGTTATAAATGCGGTAACCATTAATTATACAGCGAGAGATACTGAAAGGACTAAAACTTTGGATAACTTGACAAAAAAAATTGCAGTTCCATCCCGAAACGGCAAAAATATCGCCAGCAACTTGCGAGTATGAATCAGGTATTTATTTATTACTATATCGATAGTTCTTTATGAATTTAATTTAATAATGAAGGCGAAAAATCATTTTACAAAATTATACAAAGGATTTCAAATATTGGCAAACAGAAGCGACCAAAACAAGACAGATTATAAGTCTACATTTTTTAGCTGCTTGTTAGGGTTCAAGTTTTCAAGTTTTCAAGATGTGTCATTTTGCGTGATTATGGTGTTTTATTACATTAATTATTACAAAATATAGCGGCATTATTTTATTACAATAGTTTATTATAAAAAAAATTACAAAAAAATTCCATAATAGGCGTAGTTTTTATTAGGTCATGCTTTTTCTATAAAATCGTTTATATACAACAATAAAATTTAATTAATAATCGTTTTTTATACAATGAAAAATTTTACTATAAATTTAAAAAAAATTAAAAAAAAATACAATAAAAAGAAATCTTAAGAAGTCGGTAAATTTATTGTCAAATAGTATCTAATTCATCGAAAAAATATCTGGGATTAATTTTTTTCGGATAATATTCGATGATATTCACTACCTATTTAATAGCATGCTACGACTTCGAAAAGATGTTTCATCGATAATTTCACAATTATATTATGACACGACTTCATCACGTGTTAGATACTAAATTATTGTGAATTGTTAAACACAGGTTTCTGCAAAGTAATTGTGAATTATGAACATGCAAATGATCCTATACAATATAGAAAAATGCATCAAAAATTTAGACAAATTAATTCAGTTATTCAACGGCCTTTACCCCTTTAAGAAACTATGTCTGTTATACGCAAAAACCATTAATTTTTTAAAAAAAATGATTGATCACATATATGTAGCAAAAGAAATCAATATTGTTGTTATTGCACATATCCATAAATTTGGTTTATTTCCCATCATATTTAGCTTTATTATTTCATTGAAACACTGGTACAAACATTTTAAAAAAAGTCTAGTAGCGTCAATAAATTCTTTCTTCATATCTACGCACTCCTATTTCCTCTTAATACATTTTTTCTTAGATTGCAAAGTGCTGTGATGAATTCTTTAAATTTAATACGACCATATTTAAACCTTTACAATAATTGTGGAATTATCTAAACTAAATAATTAGAAATGAATTAACCTGCCTCTTTTTCGCATCATATTTATATCGCAAGGAGAGACATAATTTATAACATCGATAAAATATTAATAGGTACATCTTTTTTAAATATTAAAATACAAAAAAAACAAAACAAAACAAAACAAAAACAAAATATAATATTATTGGCAAGGAATCCTTGCACAATAAAACATAAAAAAAAATCATATCACTAAAATAATATCGTATACTTTTGTTATTAAGAACATAGAAGTTCAACTATTCTGAATTTGAAAGTTTAAATATTAATTGTAAAAAAAAATTATTATTGTGAAATGTTAATGCCAAATTTTTGAAATAACTTTATGATGAATATAGCATACCTAAACTAGCCAGCCAACCTAGCATACAAGCTAGCGACATATTCCACCGCCCGCGCCGCCTCCTTTTCTTCTTGACGACGCAGTAAATGGTCAATATATGACCGGGACCAACTAAGAGCAGTTTGCCCCGGAGTCATACTGTATTCATGTGGAGGCGGCGGGACGGCTATATCAAATGATGGGGGTTGTTGCTGTTGTTGCTGTTGCTGCTACTTGCGGCGTCGAATTTCCGCCATGGACCTTCTCGTGTAAAAAACGTCGGGAAGGCTACGCCGCCTGTGCCTCCTTTTCTTGATGACGACGCAGTAAATGACCGGGACAAACAAAGAGCAGTTTGCTCCGAAATCTTATTGTATTCATGTGGAGGCGGAGGGACGGCTACGTCAAATGATGGGGGTTGTTGCGGTTGTTGCTGTTACTGCTGCTTGCAGCGTCAAATTTCCGCCATAGACCTTCTTGTGTAAAAGCGTCGACGCGAAGCGCTTAACTTTTTTCCTTTACCCATATTTGTTAAAAATTTTTTAAAAAAAATAATTTTGAAGGAAATGTGTGTTAAAAAAATTTTTTTTTTGATAAATCTTATCATCGTAAATTTGTGGTTTATATATATAACCAGTTCGATATGAATTAACTGAAAATCAGTTAAATATATGATCAGGACAAACTAAGAGCAGTTTGCTCCGGAGTCATATTATATTCATGAGGCGGCGCCGGGAAGGTTACGCTGCCCGTGCCTCGTTTTCTTAATTCTGACTCAGTATAAGGTCAACATGTGACCGGGACAAACAAAGAGCAGTTTGTCCCAGAGTCATTTGGTATTCATAAGGAGGCGGCGGGACGGCTACGTCAAATGATGGCGGTTGGGGTTGAAGTAGGGTGTCCAGGATGATTTTATCACGATTTTTGACAATTTTTTTTAGATTTTGTGTTTTAGTCGACCACATGATCAAAATTTTCATCCTCTTGGTTTTTACTGAAATTATGCTGATCTCAGCCAGAATTATGATCGCAATTTTGTGATAAAATCACGCGCGAAATTTGGACCATCACGCTAACCCATAAACCCTAGGTCGAAGTTGCGGTTGTTACTGTTGTTGCTGTTATGGTTGGTATTGTTGTTGATGTTGTGGTTTTTGTTGTGGTAGAAGCCGCTGTTACAGTTGCTTGCGGCGTCGAGTTTCCGCCATGGACCTTCTCGTGTAAAAACGTCAGACGCGAAGCGCTTAATTTTTTTCCTTTACCCATATCAGATATTTGTGAAGAGTTAAAAATTTTTTAAAAAAATAATAACCAGTTCGATATGGGTGGTTTTTGTTGTGGTGGAAGCCGCTGTTACAGTTGCTTGCGGCGTCGAGTTGCCGCCTTGGACCTTCTCGCGTAAAAATTTTTACTTGTGCCTGATAATTTTTTTACTCATATGTGAGTTAAAGAGTCAAAAATTTTAAAAAAAAATTTGGAGATAAGGGTGAAAATAGTAAAGGGAGAAGGAACTATTCAAAAACGTTTTTATTTATTTTGCGTGTACATATGGTGCGTTTTGCAGTAGAAAGGAAAGAAACTAAAAAAATTTTTTTTGCCCTTTCTACTGCCTGCCTGCCCATATATTTATCGGTCGAAAAAAATAGTTTCTTTATATATCCAAACTGCATCAAATGACTTTTCCAAATTGATGTAAAAAAAAAAACTTGTTTAAACCTGGGAAAAAAAAAGTCTAACTTGCTTTTCGTTGCCAAATTTAGAAGGTATAAGTAAAATATAGTATCTTCATGACAAATAATTTTTTAAAACTAATAGTCATTAGTAAAAAGAATGACGTTCTTTTTGTCCCTTATCGATCGGCAATTGAAAATAAATTTTTTCTGTGGATTTCCAAATTACAGTGTTTATCGTTATGTTTAAATATAGTGTATTGTATTGCAGAAATAACTCGTAAAGTATTTTTTAACAAATAAATTTTCAGGGGTTCAAAATATGATCAAAAAAAAATCGTTGCACCTGACATACCGTAACATAAGCCGATTGATTTTATCCATTATATCTAAAAATTAATTGCATCATTCTTACAACGAAGTATACATTAGTTAGAATAACCTACCTATAAACATTGAATAATAGTAGTACAAACAATATATTCTCATTAAAACAAAATTGATAAAAATAATTTAATAATTAATCATATCTTCAAATTCAAAGACCGACTAAACATATTAATTTTTAATATATATATATATACATACGCATTGCATAATCAGGATAACTACCTTTTATATTAACCGCAAAAAAAAATTTTCACAACTTTTTTTTAATATTTTTTCAAATCGCCAACATAAAAAAACAAAAGAAAATGAGTAAGGATAGCAAAGAAGCATTTTTAAACAACAAGGACAATAGCAATTACAAAGTGAACGACAAGAACGACAACAACTGTATGAAATGCTGCCAAAGCAAGATGAACTACCATCATATGGAATATATGGAATAGTGATGGATGAAGATGCCGCGACAAAAGCAGAACTTGAAGTCAATTTAAATAGAATCAATGAAATCCATGCTCAAATGCGAGTTTTTCATGCGATCTCTGCAATATTCACAGAACTTGAGCAAAAGATTCGTAGGTTAGAAGAAGGTAAGATATCTTTAATATTTTATCATAAGCTTGTTTAAAATAGGATTATCATTATTATTATAACTAATTATAAATTTTTTGTTTTAAGAAAAAAAAGGCAAAAGAGGTGGAAGAAGGGTGAAGAAGTGGAAGGTGAAGGAGCTGAATGATGATGTTGAGGTTGATGTTGATGTAGTTACGGAGGAACCATAATCTTTTTATCATATGGGGCCTTTGCAATAGAAAGGGGGGAAACTGCTGGGAAAAATTAATTTTCTTTTATATGCCAAATATGATTTTTCCGCCCTTTCTATTGCAAAGGCCCCATATTAGCTAAATGATTTAAAATTTGTGACTCTTTACCATTCTGTTAATCCGATATTAAAACACGCTATTCCTAAAATAAAGTTTATTTTTTATCCTAGCAACAAACTTTTATTTATTGACTTTCTATTATTCATATGACACGATAAATTAATCTCTAACCGCTTAAAAATGAGGTTATACAATACGCATCCAGAATACTAGTTAATTCACAAAAGTTAGACAAATTAACTTTTGTACTCTTAAACTATGTCTGTTTATACGAAATAACTAATAAATTAATATGTTAACATAGTTCAAATCTGGTTATTAGTTCAAATGGTCTTTTACATTTTAGATTTCAATTGGAAAAAGTATAATATGTTCTCATTGCGAAATATAAATGATGTGAAAAGAGAAATTTATTGTAAAGATAATAAAGCTCGTACATGATCGCCAAAGTTAACCGTTTCTTTACGGTTTGATTAGATTCTACAAATAAAAATTTATAACTAATTTTATATAATCTTTTCAATTTGGCTATTGCGATAAGACTTATTTATTTTTTATTTATTTTTTTTTTATTAAATTAAGACATTTATTTGTTATAAAATTTAAATTTAAAATTAAAATAAAAGTTGTAAATATGTATAGAAATTTTATTATTATTAACTTTAACAATTACAAAATATATAATGATTCAATTTTTTTGAATCAGCTACAGCAGCAATTTGTTAACATATCTATATTTCATATTAGTAAGTTGCTGAATTTTTTATTAAAACTCTAATAAATATTTTTATAATTTGAATGTAAAAATGAAACCTTTTATCATTTTATTAAAATTGAATTAATATATAAAAACTTTTTGTATTATATCAAATTAAATATCTAAATATTTAAGCAGCATATTTTATTATTTAATAAAATAAAAAAAAATTTTATTTAAAAATAAAATTTTAAATTTAACAAAAAAAAAAAGTTTATTTATAAACTTTTTTTTTAAAAAAATTATTTAAATATATCAATTCAATATTTAGTAACTAAATCTAATATAATATTAGAAATTTTTATGGATTTATTTATAGTTAATTTTATAATTCATAGGCTATTAATAAATTATGATTAAAAGTGATTAATATTTATAATAAAATTATTATAAAGTATTATAATTGAATGACTGCAACTGAAAAATTATTAGTGATCCAAAAATTTGAAATAAGCTATAATAATATTACTTATTTTAACTTATTTTAGATTTAACAAACATAATTTTGTATAATTTATTATTTGTATAAATTTTTTTTAAGTTCAAAATTTTTAAAAAATATATATAATATATTATAATAATATTTTTTTTATTATATAATAAATTTAAAGTTACTTAGAAGTTAAATATTTGTAATTTTTAAAAATATATGTATATAATATTATTAGAATTCAATTTTAGCTATATATTTTTAATATAATAATAGGTAAGTTTATAGCATTATATTAAATTAGATATTAATATAAATTATAGATTTTACAGTATAAAAAAATATATATAAAATAAAATATTAAGTTCATTTAATCTCATTTGTCAAAGTGTTTCTAAAAGTATTTCATTTTTAATTTAGGTATATTTTATTTTTATTTTTATTTAGTTTTATTAATTCTAATAATCTTTTTTTTTAATGAAATCTATTAATCAAAAAATTTATATGAAAACAAATATAACAAATTATTATTATCTATTTTATTACTATTCATATTTTATAATATTTTATTAATATAGTAAAAGATAAAAAGTAAATCAATTTGTAATTTATTAAAATTAATAAAAAATTAAGAAATTCTTATTTTTGTATTATATACAAAATTAATTTAGTAAAAAAGAGACATTAATATTATAATTTATCAATATCATTTTCAGAAAAAATGACTTTTCTTTTGATTTGTATCTCTTTTATGATTTTGGTTGATTTTGATAATATATAATATATATATCAATTTTTAATTTTATAAAACAAATATTTAGCTATATATTAGCTATATAATATAGCTATATTCTTTTATGTTATCATTAGAAAAATTCATATTTTAAGTATTTTTGTAATACTTTTCTAATAAATAAAATTTAGTAATACTTATTTAAACTCTTTTTTAAAAAATTGTAGTTTCATCAAAAAGATTCATTTCTTATATGAATAAATATAAAATTATTATATTTTTTTAATATATTTTAATTTAAGAAATTCAAATAAAGTAAATAAATTTTAGCAATTAAGTAAAATAGTTTCATTATTTATAAAAACTAGTTTTGTCAGGTATTACTAATTGACATGTAAAAAATATTTTTTGTAATAATTTGAATTAATTAATTATAATTCTGATAATCTAGAATTTTAATAACATAATCCTAACAAATTTAAATACCTAATATTCAAAATATTTTATAAGAATATAATTCTAATGTTTGATAAATCTAATAAACAAAATACTTAAATAATTCAAAATTCTGTAAAACCAAGATTTCAACTAAGTTTGCTAGATAAACTAAAAGGTATTTTTTTTTTTACTAAAACTGCTAAAATGTTAAAATAAAATTATATTAACTCTTATAATTACTTATACTAAAACTATAGTAAAATTCTAAAATACTAAAATTATCATAGTAAATAGCAAAATTGGAGAAACAATCATTATGCTAGTTTTTGAATTATTTAGCTTTAATAAACAATATATATAAGGTATCTTTCATAAGAAAGTTAAAAAATATAATTAAAGATTTCTAAGTATAATAGAAAACAATAATACACGTAGGATAAATGATAAACAAATAAAATTATAGTATGTTTCTGTCAGTATGTCTGTACTAAGCAGTTTATTTATTAAAAGATTTATTACTACTAAAATAAACTTAAAAAAACTTATGAAATCCTATTACTACTTAATACTAAACTGCTCTTATTTATATAAAAACTATCTTATATATTGTTATAACAATTTAAATAAAGAAAATATAGAAAAATAAAATAAATACACTTTTACGTAATAAGTTTAGGATCACCCTTAAGATCAGCATAAATAATGCCTAAACTGTAATAATTATGCATTTTGTGTAACTTAAATAAAATTATATATGACATACATTGTTTAATTATGATTATTACACAAACTTAACTTTTTTTTTCGTTTAAATGCAAAATAGTTAAAAAATAGAAATGACGAATTTTGAACATGAAAGATTATTGGTTTTTATGAAGCTGGTGACTCTGAAAGAACTATTTCAAGAAAACGGGTTATGAAAAAACTACCATCTATAATATAAAAGAAAAATATTGTAAAACGGATGCTATTTCTGTTACTTCTTGAAGCTGCTGTTCAAAGAAATTAACTGAATAGGATAAACGTTATCTTAAAGCTATTATTACCAAAAATAAGCATGAACCTATAGAAAAAATTAATGAAATTTTTATTGAATTTACTGAAAAAAAGTATGTAGACATATTATGCAAGAAACATTATATGAAATGGGTTATAACAGTTATATAGCTTTTAGAAAACCTAATGTTAGTGAAAAATCAAAAATACACTTAAATTAGGCTTGTAAAAGGCGTTTATGAACTATAGATGATTGGAAAAGGGTGGTCTGAAGTGATATATCCTGATTTACTATGTTTTAAAACAATGGAAAAATTCAGGTTTGACGTCTTGTAGAAAAAAATATAATATTAATTGTCTTATTCCAACAATGAAACATAGTGATTAAGGAATTATGATGTGGAGGTATATTAAATGTTTCCCCACTTATGTCTAGACAGTATTATTATAATGTTCTTACTAGATAATGAATTCTTGCTAAAAGTAAAAGATATCATGAATTTATTAATGTTAATTGGAAAGATTGTTTAGCTTCTAAGGTGTAGAATATATTTGAAAAAAATATTTGAATATTTATTTTTTATATAAAAAAAATGTTAATACAAATCTCTGATAAACCCAAATTCCAAACTTATAAATATAAAATTTCACTTCTGGAATGAGGCTAAGCTTTATAGAATTTATAGAATTTCATTATTATATAAATAAATTTAATTTCTTAGATAAGCTTATCATTTTTAAGAAGTATTTAATACTTTTTTGTTAAGAGCCAATTTCTGATTAAAAATATTAGATACTTTCTTTAAGCTAGAAGAACAGATAGGTCTTATTGATCCTGAAAATTTGAATACTAATATCATGATATTTAAACTTGGATACTTAATTATTATGACACTTCTGATCCAGAATGCAAAGGTTTTTTATTAGTTAAAGATCTAGAAAGCTCTTATATGAATTCTTGCGTTATAATAACTATAGTATAAATAAATTCTTTTATGAATTCTATGAGAATTACATTCGAATCCTCTTAATAGTAATCATTATCTGCTTTTGCTTATAAAAATATATATTTATTTACTAAATGGTTTAAGGTTTAACTTTTATATTTTAAATTTTTTTTTTTAGTTTGAATGAATTCTTTACATTTATGTTTTTGTGAAAAGTTGTGGTGTAAAAAAATAAACCATCAATAGAAATCGCCGAAGTATTAGTGAAACCATCGCGTGAAATTTGGAATGTCTGCGATTTCGTAATACGTTGTAAAGATGAAGAAAATGCCTATTTTGGTGGCTCAAGCATGATCCATCCAAGAAATATTTACTACGAATTTTTTTTTTTTTTTTTGAAAAATAAATTTTTTAAATATTATTATGAAAGATATGGTACAGATATCAAATGTTTATATTTAGATAGATTTTAATCCTATAAGCCTATAACTTTCCAA